AATTGAAACAGGAACTCAGTGCAATTGATTATATCTTTTGTCATGAACAGGGTCTACAAATTTGCGTTTTCTCGTCATAAACAGGGTACCCCTTTCAGAATCCCAGCGGAACACTCCTACCCAAATTCTGGCGGAGTACCCCCCCGGGAATTTATCATTCCCGTACTTTGTTCGGGTCCTGCTGATGGTCGTGAAGAAAATAATTCAAAGTAACAACTGAAATTGGTTGCCCAACCATTGCTTAATTGCTTCCAAAATCCAGCTCTTTTTGTAGCTGAAGCCAAACATAGCGATTTTTCAGTCCAAAATGATGACTTTCCAGTGCTTTTTTGATATAAGAAATCGTCCTTCTACCGCCATTTGTATAGCCCTAGAAACCTGGCCTATATATTGTTCAACATCCATAATTTTGTCTCCAGATCTCGCTTTAAAACGGAAAAACGTGCTCACGAAGTAAGCATATATTTCGGTACAGATTCGAGAAGCTGTCCGAGTTGAGACTGGTACCTAATTTGGAGAAAATGCCCGCGAATTTGGCTTAAAAAAATAATTTTAATCGTTTTTTTCAAACTTTTTCAAATCCTTTTAATAGTATGAAGATATTACAGTGTTTCTTTGAAAATTGCTTCCCCATTCTTCACATAATCTCTATTATTTAGAAATGACCAGAGTTGATGGGCAATTCTGTGCGATGCGAAAATCCAATTTTTTTTCGAAATTGGATGCATTCCTGATTTTTAAATGAGTTTAGAAAACGCGCCTTTTCATATAAGGACCGCGCGTAAGGGGGACTGATGCGATTACGTCATCGGGGTGATACGTTCCAAAAGTGAAAGACTTGCGCATTCTTCCAAGTCGGATTCACTCGTACAATAAGTAAAAGCTCAATATTTCGGCATTTTTTCTTTCTTAAAACTTTTAAAAACGGCGCTCTTGACCCTCAAAAAAATTGGTGTATCACCCCGATGACGTAAGTCAATACAATTTTTCAGGCTCCTCGARCGCGGTACTGAAATTTCGAGAGTGAGTGAACACGACAATTTTGCCAACGTTTTCGTGCCGTAAACAATCAGGAATTCGTTTGAGACGAAAAAAAATATTTGAAAAACGCGTTCATGACAATGTGAGGATTTGTTCTAAATGGGTCTGAAATCAGGCATTAGGGGCACTTTAACCTGCTAAATAGGCTACAATGGATTATAACATGCTACAATGGATTATGACATGCTACAATGGATTATAACATGATACATTGGATTATAACATGCTACAATGGATTATAACATGCTACAATGGACTATAACATGCTACAATGGATTATGACATGCTACAATGAATTATAACATACTACAATGGATTATAACATACTACAATGGATTATAACATGCTACAATGGATTATGACATGCTACAATGGATTATGACATGCTACAATGGATTATGACATGCTACAATGGATTATAACATGCTACAATGAATTATAACATACTACAATGGATTATGACATACTACAATGGATTATAACATGCTACAATGGATTATGACATGCTACAATGGATTGTGACATGCTACAATGGATTATGACATGCTACAATGGATTATAACATGCTACAATGGATTATAACCATTGCATTGCAAATTTTTCTCGGACTTACAGAAACCTAGCAATCTTTTATTGAAATTTGCAAGGAAAATAACAACCCTGTAGTTAATAATAGTTCGTTAATATTTATCTATTCTTCTTCTTCTTTTCTTCTTCAGAGGAGTTGTTGCCGAAGGCCACCGTCTGGCCGCAATATCGTAGAGACAGCGAGGGCACACGAACAGTATTTTATTGTTTATCCAATGGTAAAAGACCGTTAACGGTCAGTTGGTCTCGCCTGGACAACCGTCCCCTGTCATCACGTGCACAGGCAGACAGTCGCGCTATTAATATACCTATTGTACGTAAAGAGGACGAAGGAGGATATGTGTGTACTGTAAGAAATGCATATGGACAACATACTGCACGAGGAACTCTCAACGTGCTGGGTAACTCTTGTCTTTTCAACCACTTTTTTAGAACAATTGCAGACTACGTTTAGTGAACATCCCTTCTTTCCTTCCTTTTAATCCGTTCTTTAATTCTTTCTTTGTTTAATTATTTATTTCTCTTTTTTCTACTCCCATCCTAAACAAAAATAAAGCAAAAAAACACCAACAAAAAAGATGGGCAGGAAATCAGGCGACATGTATAATCAATTAATTATGGTAATTGATTAATTAATTTTGACAATCAATTAATCAATTTTGATAATTTATTCATTAGCAAGACCCGAGGATCCAATCACAGTATCAGTTTCTCCACGAACACTTCACATCTCAGCCAAGAAAACTGCTCGTTTCGTCTGTAAAGCTAAGAGTCCCACGTATGCAACGGTTAAATGGACCAAGGGCCAATCAGGGACGCTACCCCCTGACGCCAAAGACAAAGATGGAATATTAACCATACCATCTGCTAGTGGATGGCATACGGGAACATATACGTGTACAGGGTCCAATCAGTACAGTTTTGATCAGATTAGTGTTCAGCTAAGAGTTGCAGGTAATTGTGGTTGTATGTGTGCGTTTAACTGGAGAATTACAAAATACCTACGTCCTTGGAAAAGCACAAACACTGCCGGAGAATGTTTGCCAAAGGCGTGCATACTATGTGGAATAGGTGTCCCTATACATATTATTATAAAACTATATATAGTATATCAAAAATTATGGGACATTCTCTGATTTTTCCCCCAGATACGATAACCCTAGTGATAAACAACTCGAAAAAAATATCAGGCACGATATTCGATAATTTCTGATATATTTTCGATACAATTGTACATGTATGTATACACCTACTTGCAAGAAGGTTGTCATACAAGAATAGAACATTAGTAATTTAGTGAGAAAGGAATACATTAAAAGACAAAAGAAAAAGTTCAGCTTCAGTGATCTTCTTTTGTTTTTTAATATAATTCCTATTCCACTAAATCACTAATGTTCTATTTTCGTATGCAACGTTCTTGCAAGTAGGTGTACATAAGGTGTACAAAAGGGTCAAAGTTCTTGCATATGGTTGTATATGTAATATATACAGTATTGAGATTGCCCTAGGCCTGTGACCTGTTTTATTTGAACTACGTGAACTGCCACTCATGCCACTTAATTATGAAGGAGAAAAATAACAAAATAACTGATCTAATTGTTTACTATAAAAGATCAAAGCTCTTTGCAATTTTTTTTAGATTTTTTATTTTAGCAAAATTTTACATCATTATTTTTCAGATGTTATCAGACCTCAAGTGTCTATTATTCCTCGCTTCCTCACTGTAGATGAAGGGGATCCTGTGGAATTTCGATGTTCTGCCAGTGGTTTCCCCCCACCTGAGCTTACTTGGACAGGTCGTGCTGTGGGTCGTCTTCCTGATGAGGTTCTGTTGTCTAAGGGTAATTCAGTTTTCAAAATCCTTAAAGCCAAGAAGGACCACGAAGGGGAATACTTCTGTATTGCAAAAAATGACGGCGCCTTGGGAAGGATGAGAACAGTATTGAACGTTAAAGGTAAGAGTTCAGTCTGTTTTTTTTCACTCCACAAATATGATCTTCCAAATTTCAATTTGATCATGGAATGAAGTCAACAGCTATGTTAATTTAGCTGGATAAGTCAGTGGCGTACTGAGTGGTTTGCCACTCGCCTCTCACCGCTGTGAGTTGAGTTTGTTTGATGTATTGTTCTCTCCCTTGCCACCAGGGTTTTCTATGGATTCTCCGTTGAGAAATGTTTGAGTTTGAGCTGAGTTTTGTATGTTGTAAATATAGAATGTAGTGGTAGTGAGTGTGGAAGAGCTCGTACGGGGAGTGGTGGTTGTAAAATATAAGTTATACGTATAAGTGGGGATCGTGATTAAGATGAGATCAATCAATAGATACAGAGACTGCATGGGTGTCTCCCGAATAATTGGAGTGACACTAATTTTATCTAATACAGCTAGATTAATGGAAAAAAATACGCACTGCTAATCGAATGAAACATAAAGACAACAATTGTATGTGTTTCATTACCTTTACTTTCACCAGCCATTGGAAGTGCTCCAATAGTCCAGATAAACCCCAATCAACTATTATTAACCGAAGGTGATGTGGCTGAATTGAAGTGTACAGCCACCGGCGACCCACAACCGATTATTCGCTGGAATCGAGTTGAGGGGAATTTTTCGCAGTCGACTTCGAGGGTAGGCGGCGTAATGAGAATCGATCCCACAGCTGTTGAAGACCAGGGCACCTATGTCTGCACTGCGGCAAACCGGTTTGGAGCTGTCGCAGAAAATGCTGTCATCAGTGTAGAAAAAGGTTTGTGTTCAGTAATGTTGCTAATTCTAGTGAACTGCACTTTAAAGAATTATGGTCTCCTACCTTATTTGGGCTGGTAGTTTGGCGTCATCTTCAAATCTACTGAATTTTGTTGTTCCAGACCAATCTATTTCTCCAACCGCTTCTGTATTCCCTGATGAAATCACTGCAAATGAAGGAGAAACAGCAGAAATAACCTGTGAAATCTACGGCAGTCCCACACCGAGCATGGAATGGAGCCGAGTGGGCGGAGTTCTACGAGATAATCATATCCTCAAGGAAAACAAGCTAAGTATCGTTAACATCACTGAAAATGACGAAGGAATGTATGTCTGCATTGCACAGAACAGAAAAGGAGTCAAACAAGCAACATCGATTGTGCGAGTTACAAGTAAGTTATTGAAAACCATGCAAGACAGCAATGTCACTGTTATTTTATTTTAGTAAAATCATTTGAATATAGATTTTCGCGCGCTGTGATTGGTCGAGCGACCAGTGGTTCTGAGACGATAATCACATGCTCGAGTGGTATTATGAGGTTTTCCAAAGTTGGCCAGAGTGGAACTAATACCAAAACTTTTTTTTATCCTGAATTATGTCTTTTCTCTGATTTTCATAAAATTACAATAATAAAAATAATTATTTCGCCTTCGGTGAATAATTGTTCTAATATCCAATATTATCTAAAAATAATACATATTTTGTTCATTGCCTTGGATATTTTGCCGAATTTTGTTATTCAAGTTTGACACCATTATCGTTGAAGTGTGACCCATTTCAACAACAGTCAATCAAAGAACTGCAATAAAAATACACAATATTTTCAGGGAAAATTTTCGACTGGATTAAAGATTTTAGAGGATTAGATGATTAAAATCTTTAAACCAACCTAAAATCTCCCTCAAGATGTTTTTTCTCAGTTCTTTGATTGTCTCCTTCATAGCCTGTGAACCGTTATGGATTCTCGGTTTTTCTACCTTAAATATGGCTCGCGCGATACGCCAGGGGCGGGGGAGGCTAAAAATCTTTGGGGGAGGGGGGGGGGCACTGCAAAAATCTTTGAGGGGGGGGCACTGAAGATTATATTTAACGCTATGTGATAATGATAATGTTTTGCAGACGCATGCGCCGTAAAACAATGACTAATACAATACAATACAGTTTTATTTGGCACCTTATACTTAAGGTATATTATAGGTATATATATATGTACTATGTATTAGGTACACTGATATAGCTCTTTGTAGAGACGCTGATTTTGAATTGATTAAAAACAGAAAACGACTGTCAGCGCTAATATTGTTGAAATTAATGCTGGTGTTTTTTTCTATGAACTCTCTTGAATCGTTTCTATGAGAGTCATATAGTGGACAACAAACTAGAAAGTGTTTTTCGTTTTCTRCTCCCGACTTACACACTGGGCAAATCCTTTCATCGTAAATGAGATAAGGCCTCTTATACCTCCCCGTTTCTACCTCAAGCTTATGGTTGCTAACGTTAATTTTGTAAGCGCCACTCTGTGCTTAATATTGGTGACTTGACTTAAATATTCTTCAAAGTTATAATCCGTTTTGAACTGACGAAAGACTCTGAGTTTATTTTTATGTCTGTCGTCTTTCATTTCATCATTCTTTGGGTTATTATTTTTCCATATTCATACCATCTTGGAGAAAGTTCATTTTGTTTCATCCAAATTATCCCCAATCCGAGTTGTTCTAAAGTAGTTTTAATTTTTATGCTCCAAAAGGCTTTTTTAGTTTCATTTGTAATATCTTGGTAGACTTCGGCTGAAAGTTTGCCAGAATTTAAAGCTTCTACTGCATGTTTTGCATTTTAGCTTAAACCTTCCTAACTCAGCTCTGCATGCAAGGTTACTAGCATTCTTTGTCACCTTGAGGAGCATTTTGTCAAAATTTCAAATGAACAAGTTCCATGGGCTCTTGGTCTTTGGTGCTTAATGTTTYGATACCCCATATCTCACTTGCKTATWGAAGTATTGGTGTAACAAGCGAGTCAAACAGTTTTATAGTTAATTTGATATTGGATGYGAAAAATTCACCCATTTGTTTTTTCATCTGAAATAGTGCCTTTAATGCAGCATTTTTTAATTAAAGTTTCCAAAGGTTGTAAAATTTAATCCTAAATATTTATATGATTTTACGTTTTCTAGTTTAAATTTGTTCGAATAGAATTGGAAGTTATTCATTGTCTTCCCTGTATTATTGAAAACCATCACTTTTGTCTTTGTTATATTAACTGTTAAGCCTGATTGTTCACAAAATGCCTCTAGCTTGTCGAGATATTTCTGAAGCCCTTTAGCAGACTTAGAGAACAGAACCAGATCATCTGCATATAAAAGAGTACTAATCGGTTTGCCATTCAACATTACATCATTGTTGTTACACGAATTTAATGAGTCAGGCAGATCGTGAAGATATAGATTAAATAATGTAGGGCTCAGCATACAGCCTTGTTTAACACCCATATAACAGGAAAATGTGTCCATTTACTTTGATTGCTGATTGATCAGTGGAATACATCGATTGTACCACTCTTAGAAAATTTCCATTTATACCAACATTTTCAAGTTTTGCCATTAATTTTTTTCTTGGGATGCAGTCAAACGCTTTTTGAAAATCTACGAAGCAGGAAAAAAGGAAATTATTTTTCTTCGGTGGCTTACTTTTAACATATTTATCGATTACAGATTTCAGAATAAAAATACTATCTGTTGTTCCGTGCTTTTTTCTTAACCCACCCTGTCCCTGTTTAATTATATTATTCGTAGTTAGGTAATCATAAAGCCGTTTGTTAAGTATTCATGCCGTAAAAACTTTGCCAATTGCAGAAAGGAGTGTTATTCCACGATAATTTTCAGCTTTCGTTGGATCGTCCTTTTTATGCAATGGAACAATATATCCTAGATTCCATGAAGAGGGAAACTTTCCGTTGTCTAGGATTTTATTAAAAATTACTGTCTAGATGTCATTTTAGTGCTTTCCTTTCCCGTTATCAATAGCTCATTTGGAATATTATCAGGGCCGGGAGCTTTATATTTCTTTAGGTTACTTAGAACTTCATATACTTCTTGGTCTGTAATGGAAAAATCTATTTTCCCTTGACTTTGCAACTGTTCTAAGGTCTCCGTAGTGTTTAGTGCAGATGTCTGGAACTATAAAGCGTCTTGAAGTGATTAAATAAGTCCTTTTCGTTTGCTCGACAGGAGTTTGCATTTTTTTGCTTTGCCTACATTAAAAAGTCGTTTCAAAGACTTCCAGGTGGATTTCGAATCTTTGAGGTCAAGGTTCATTAATTTTGAATTGAAATATTYGTTTTTCTTACGTCTACACATGCTTCGAAAGGACCTTTTATAGGTATGTAGATTCCTACAAAGTTGTTCATTATTTGGATTCCTACAAATTTGTTTTCCAAGAGATCGAAGATTTTTCTTTTCGTTTTCACATTCTGAATCAAACCACTTTTGTGAATCTGCATTTTCTTTAAATGCTTTAGTTTGTTTAGTTAGGGAACAAAGACCTGCTTCTGTTCCTATACTTGTTAGGGTTTCAGTAAATGCCTTAACCATTGAGTCTTCATTATCTGCGTTTCCTATTGATTCGCGTAGCGTTGCTTGTGTTTAATTCTGTAGTGCTTAAAATGTTTTGTAATTTATCGATATTTCCAGTATGCCACTTTAAGCTAGAAATTGTCGAAAATTCCCTATTTTCTTCTTTTTCTTTGTTTCCACTGTTTTTGGGGKAAAGTTGGATTTCTATTCCATAAGAAATATGACAATGATCGGATAGATTTGGCATTAGTGGATTAMCCTTCAAAAATCGAACTTTTTCAAGTAGATTTGTACTCCCGATTACATAGTCGACTAGACTATTTCCGTTGTATCGAAAACAAGTCTTTTTGCCCGTCAAGTCACCAACAACCCTACCGTTAAAGATTCGTAAATTACAAGCCGTGCAAATATCTATTATTAGGCATTTACCTCTTTTTTCGACGTTCTCTTTGTCTTTAGAGTACCTTTTCATTAGCTTGTCGATGAGATAATCATCAGGTAAATTAAGGTACTTACTGTCATCATCATTTATGTATTCCTGGATTTCCCCAGTTCGTGCATTAAAGTCGCCTTGTAGAATGACTTCACCTTTCGTTGAAAAATTGATTATATCTGGTTCTATATCCTCCAATATATCTTCATTATTCTCTTTAACATAATTATTTGGGCTTAGGTAAATTGTGCCTACGTATATGTCATTTGTTAGATGGAAAAAGTCTTTACTTATTCTACACCAAATAACATTTTGATTAGACGTCGGTATATAGGAAACGCTCTTGCTGATTCTATTGTTTATATWTAAAACACTCATTAATAATTCATAAGCTTATGGTCCAATTGGAGCCACCATACACGTCACGTGCATGAACCTTTATACCCGATAAAGTCCTCTTCATTAGTAGTCAAATGATTTTACACATGTGATCTTTATATAAAGACCACTCGAATACTATGAGGATGACTTCATCAGGGATGAAGTATACATCCAAGTTTAGATGAAGACATAGACTTCATCAAGGTTATAGTCAACCCTAATGATCTTTGACTAACGTGCCTGTCTTTGCCTTGGCACGCAATATCCAACGTGTAGGAGCTTCTATTGAATCTGGTTGCGCATGCCCGTGACGTCAAATCTCTATCGAAGTATAAAAATCCATGTTCGTGACGTGTATGGTGGCTCCAGTTGAACCAAAATCTTATAAATTGTTCATGAGTGTTTTAATCAGTTCAAAAAACTCGTAAATCGTGTTTTATCAGGTATAAAAGCACTCGGCTACGCCTCGTGCTTTTATACCTGATAAAACACTCCTACTCGTTTTTTAAACACTACATAGTGCTATTCCTCCAGCATGGCGGTTTCGTGTTTTGTCACGACATTTTGTATAGTATTTATAGTCTTTTAAGAACCAATGTTTGGGGGGGGGGGCGGTCCCCCCTAAAAAAGCTAAAAGCATCCTATTAAAATTAATATCTTATTTATGATTATTAATAGAGAATATGATGCCAAAAGTAGAGATAATGCCAACCGCCAATCAAACTGTGATTGGTGGTGAAACGGTCGTTTTCAGGTGCATGGTAAAGGAAGGAGAGCCAAAACCATCAGTGATGTGGATGGACAGCAGTGAAAGACCTGTCAATACCTCTGCTTCACATGTCAAGGATAATGTATTGATGATATCACATGTTTCAAGTGAAGACGAGGGTCGCTATGTTTGTCGGGCTAGCAATTCTATAGGGACTGTTTATGCTGAAGCTGTGCTTACAGTTCAAGGTTTGTATAGTTCCCTCTTACAGAATTTTTTAAAATTTTCCTTAAGTTTTCGAAAACATAAACTAAAGCCATATGCAAAATTTAAAGAAATTTAACCACAGAGTTTTTGATTTTTTTCCAGTTTGAATATTAAAATTTATAGAGCGCGCGCGCGATCAAGAAAACCGTTGCGAGCCTCTTGGTTGAATTGCCCTGTAAAGTATATATGTCTTGTGTGATAATATAGAGATTTATAGCGAGGTTTTTAAATGAGAAATGTGAACAACCTTCAACATTATTTGATATTAGCTGAACCACATGTATCCGTCACGCCGTCAAGTCCCCACGTAGTCCCAGTGGGTAGTCAAGTCACACTCGTCTGTTCAGCAACAGGTGACCCCCTCCCCACTATGCAGTGGATTGCTCCGGTCTCGAACAGCGCACTTCTTAGACCCGTCAAGATTAAACCAGGCAAGTTGCAGTTGGTCATTGAGCATGTGACGTTACAAGATCAAGGTGATTATCGATGTATGGCGACTAATGTAGCTGGGAGTTCACAAGCTTTTATAAAGATAGTCGGTAAGCACTAGTGCCAACCTTATCATTATCAAGTAAACATAGTTCCTTGTATATCCTTTTTTTCTCCTTAAAATAATTCCCTCACTTGTATTCACAATGTAACACCCGGCGCTTTTCTTTCTAAATAGTCACACCGCTCGTGAATAAGCCACCAGACGTAATGGTTTTTCCTACCAATAGTACAATGCTGGAAGGCGAAAAGGTCGTGTTTCAGTGTGATAAATCCGGTATACCTACCCCTACTGTGACATGGTCCAGAGTAGGAGGTAGTTTGCCGGATACGGCCATTATCTCGGAGTCTGGGCTGTTGAAAATAGAATCTGTCAGTTCCAATGACCAGGGAGTGTACTTATGCACAGCAATAAACAGTGAAGGTTCAGCTACAGCTAAAGCAGAATTAAAGGTTACAGGTACCTCAAAAAGCTTGTCTAGTGAATACTGAGAGTCTAACTAATACATAAAATCAAGATGTAGGCAATTTAAGCCAGCTCGGAACTCTTTTATGCACAAAAAAGGATTTTAGAATAGTATCTTCGAAATGCATTTAATTAATAATAAGGAATTTCAAAAAAAAAAATTTAGTTTATCTGCCTTTCCGAAAACAAAAACAACAATTGGTGATGCGCGCCTATTTATGGGGCTGTTTTAAGGACGCCATTTTTAATTCGTGGCAGCTTCCAATGATTTCTTCAAGAAAAGACTTTGGTGAAGACAAGTCGAGTAACATTTCTRAACGAGTTCTTAAAGAATAACAGAAAAAACTTTTTAATATCGCGCGCGCCATGTGAATTCCAGGTTCGGGCTATTTGTAATAACGGGATGCAGTTTAAATTTGCCTTACCCTACTCCCGTTTGTTGTTCTGATAATATGATGTATAATAACGTTATATTTTTGATCCTATAGTTCCTCCAAAGGTTTCCATAACTCCACAGCAAGTGTCTGTCAATCTGGGGGATTCAATTCGTTTATTTTGTGTCTCTTCTCCGACACTTCCCCTGGCATGGACCAAACACAGGGGTACCATATCTGATAGTGCGGTAATTGACGGGGGAGTCCTAATAATAATGGAAACTACCGTCCATGATACTGGGAAGTACCGTTGTCAAGCAAGGAACGATGCAGGTTCTAATGATGCTGTTGCTATGGTAACTGTATTTGGTACGTTTAGGTCATGATAGTTAAGAACTGTACATTCAGTTGAAACATTTAGTTAAGGTCATTAAGGATATTTTTTAATACATTCGTTATCAGTGCCTCCCAAAATCGAAATGTCTTCAGCCAATTACGTGACAGCCCTTGGCTCCAACGTCACATTCAAATGTAATGCCACAGGAACCCCACATCCGGTCATAACTTGGACGAAAGAAAATGGATATCTTCCAAAATATCATATAAATGAGGGAGGCGCACTGACTATCTTTGACATGAAGGGAGTGGATCAAGGCAGGTATTTGTGTACAGCGACTAATGCTGCAGGATATTCAGAGATGACGGTTACTTTAGCAATTGAAGGTAAGTCAAACATGCCCATTCGTCTTTTTAGTAATAAAAACTTGTAATCTAAAACGAAAACTGAAATTTTGGGATGATTGTTTTCAGGGCTTCCGAACGTATCGATCGTTGGTGGCACGTCAGTCAAAACTGTTCCCGTAGGGGGTAACCTAACTTTACAGTGCCTTGGGAATGGGATCCCAAGGCCAAGCATTCGCTGGAATAGAGTTGATGGTGAACTACCCAAAAATGTAGAGGAAGGCGAAGGTGCTTTGCTGATTAAGGATGCCCAACCTTCGTATGGAGGTTCATATCGCTGTACCGCCAGAAATAGGGTTGGCTCAGTCCAGTCACAAGTCGTTATATTCATTCAAGGTAATAACTTATAAAACACTTATAAAACTATGAGTTTGGGACCATCGCGGCGCTATTGTCAACATATGTACATCATGATCAGGGATCATATTCGACTCAGCAGCGTAAAGGTTCAAAAGTTGAGGTTCAAAATTTCCTTCCTGCATTGTGAAAATGTTTTCTAATGATGTTTCACAATTTCTTTTATATCAAAAGATGCACCAAAAGTGACTATCAGTCCAGAAGTACACAAAGTCAAAATAGGTGAAGCTGCTAAATTCAGCTGCATCGCAAGTGGGTCTCCATCACCGGAAGTTACCTGGGATCGTTTGAATCATAGCACACTTTCTAATCGACATAAAATAAAGGGAGGCCAGCTGATAATTACAAATATATCACGTGACGATGCTGGTATTTACATATGTCGTGCTGCAAACATGGAAGGTACTGCAGAATCATCTGCTACTATTAAGATAAAAGGTAATCAAACAAAAATGTTCAAAACTTTTATCTAGTCATCTTCATCTAAAAAGACTTTATTTTATTTCATTGTTGACTGGTCCATCTAGGCACACGTCTGGAAGCCCTACTAAAAAAGGACTTCATTTTATTCGTGTTGACAGGTCCATCTAGCCATACGTCAAGGAGGCCTACTAGAATAAAAAATACGAACCCCACTGTATTTAAGAATCCATATTCCATAGCCTCCCTCATCATAACGTACCCATGCACTCACTTAGTCTGTTTATTTTCGTAGTGAAGCATGTCTTTCGACTTTTACCCAATATATCATAACTTTGATCTTCTCCTTTTTATTTCCAACATTTCAGGAACAGTTCCAAGATTTGAACAAAATCCTGCCTCATATATGACGTTTCCAACCTTGACAAACGACCATTTCAACTTCACTATTGAGTTATTTTTCGTCCCTGAGATTGCTGATGGATTAATTCTCTACAACGACCAGCATGACATTGACGGTGTAGGAGACTTTGTTGTTTTTGGGATGTCAGATGGGTTTGCTGAGTTTAGATTCGACCTAGGATCAGGTGGTCCAGCGCTCATACGCAGTAAATACCAACTTGTATTGAACGACTGGTACACAGTAAAGCTGACTCGATATGGAAACCAGGGAACACTCCAAATCAATAATGAAGAGATAAGAAGAGGGAATTCTAAAGGAAAGACGACTCAATTGAATTTGAACCAGCCTTTACACCTTGGAAGCGTGGCTAATTTCAGCTTGATAAAAAGCTTGGCTGGATTTAGCAAGGGATTTATTGGATGTATGGGTTACGTAGCTGTCGATGGCAAGCATATTGAACTCGGTTAGTGTTTTTCAGACCAAATGTCAAGAAAATGTTTGTTCATATGCAGGGGTGTGTGTGTGGGGGG